TCCTGTTTTGGTTTATTTCTTACCACAACTTTTGTAGCTTGGGCTGGTTTCCACTGTACAAGTGTGACTCCACCACAAAGCATAAAAACTGAAATCCACTGTAATTTGCTGAGTGTCCTATTTAACATTAAAACAGTACATAATGCAGTACAGGGAATCTTCAACTGATAGGTCACCTAGAAACAAACAGTAAGTTAATAAACTCATTTAATACAAGTGTACTTCAGAATGTTCATGGGAAATGGAATCAAAGGATAATGATTTTGATGCAAAAAATTTTAAGTCTATGCATAGTTTTTTCATAAAATTCATTTTCTATAACTTTTTTAAAATGACTAGAATTAGTCTCTGAAACAAATATATTATTTCTGATAACAGAATTAATAAAAGAGTTAATAAAAATCTTTGTACTATAAAAATGCTTTTTTTTTAAAGATTCTGTGCTTTTATTCTCATTAGTTCCACTTACCTGGTATACTGCTGCATCTAGATTGCTAAGGGCTAGGAAGGCCATGTTGTTCTGAACAGCATATACCAGAGATGGTACACTTAATTTCATCAGTTCTTTGGGGCTCCCAAAGACATTTTCACTTAGAGACGTCTTGAATCTACCCAGACTACCAGTTTCTCTTAGAAAATAAAAGAGGTAGAGGGAAGGTTGATAGGGAAGAAAATAAAACAACATTCTTTTAATAAGATTCCTTCACACACAGGACAACTATATTGTTTTAAGGCCATTAATGTAATTTAGCACACACTTTAAAAAATTACCAACTAATTGTAGATTTGCTAAACACAGAGTGATGCATTCCCAAGTGAAAATTACTATTTCTATTTGGAAAAATATGACAACCAGGTTTACACCATTAACCTCTGTTCAGAGCTCCAAGAATTTTTAAATATATGAAGAATGAGACAGCAGGAAAAAAAGGATTGTTGATATCACCTATAAAAAATTAACTGTCAGGACCGGCGCTTTGGTGCAGCAGGTTAACATCCTGGCCTGAAGCGCCGGCATCTCATATGGGTGCTTCCCGATCCAGCTCTCTGCTACGGCCTGGGAAAGCCGTAGAAGATGGCCCAAGTCCTTGGGCCCCTGCACCTGCATGGGAGACCCAGAAGAAGCTCCTGGCTTCAGATCGGCGCAGCTCCAGCTGTTGCGGCCAACTGGGGAGTGAACCATTGGATGGAAGACCTCTCTCTCTGCCTCTCCTCTTTCTGTGTAACTCTGACTTTCAAATAAATAAATAAATCTTAAAAAAAAATTAACTGTCTGCCACTGTAACCATAAAGCATCAAGTTCACCCTTATTTTATAAATATAAATATTAAAGTATTAAATATTAAAATACTTCATATTTTAAGGTTTTTAAAAATTAAATTCTCATTGAAAAGTAGAAAAGGGTTTTGGTAGTTATGGAAGTTACCAGGGTTAGCAATTAGTGATTTAGATAAATATTATTTGCAAATACATTCAGTGCTTATGAAAGACAGCAGTAGAATGATATATTACAACTTAATATATCTGTAAAATTCTGTAAGAAATCAGTAATCTACTAATCCCAACAAATGCAAGCTTTATGTGTAATGTATATCATTTACTACTTGACTGCACATTGATTATGCATACTCATAACTTTTTATTTTTGCTCAGAAGGAACTGGCTAATCCAGCTCATGTTTCACAATTATAAATCAGCTTACTTATTTCCTGAAAATAAAAATAAAACAATGTTTAATATAAGCATCAACAGTGTTTAATAAGCATCAATGGCCCCAAAGAAGTACTTTACAAAACGGTCCTAAATGCAATTCTCAGTATCTTCTTGAAGATCATAATACTTAATGGGTGAGATAGTTCTATTTCAACTCAAACTTCAGGATAATCACACTCAGTTTTCTTTTGGTTTCTTTTCTTTCTTTTTTTGGCTAACAAATTATAATCAACAGTGTGACTTGAATTTTTTCTTATTTAAAAACTACAAAAACAATTACCTAAGTTATGGGGGGAGCAACAGTCCATCATGTCAAATTGGCTATGTGTGCCCATGTATTCATTGCAGAATATTCCACCCCCAAGAAAATGCTTAAGACAGGAAATCTGGCCAAGGCACAGAAACAGAAGACATCCTTCTTAGGTACAGATCTTTTCCTGTTGCCAAATTCAGCACCCTCCACTCGACAATGGTAAGGCTATATGCTGAAAGGTAATGCACACAGCCTGGTGGTGAACTACACTCATATCAGAAGAGGTAGAATTACCAAAGATCACTCTCCTGATAGACGATACAGTGGAGTTTGCTAGGTTTCCAAAGATTGGCCCCTTAAACTCTTTTTTTTTTTTTAACTTCTCCTCAATAAAAATCTAAACTATCCTATACATTTTCCTGACAAAGAGTAGAAAGAATATTTCAAGAATGCTTTCCTTTCAATTTAAAAAAATTGAAGAAAAACTTAAAACAGGGGAATCATGGGGGTCCATCTTAACAAGATGATATATTAGAAGACAACTGAACATTTTCTTCATCACAGTTATCACTAGTATTACATGATAGCATGGGTATAAATCTTACAGATGGTGTTAAGTACAGGATACTACTTTCACTGTACTATTTTTTAGTGCCCTTCTAAAATGCTTATACATGGATGTATCTTCAAAATGGTACCTTTGGGGCTGGCACTGTGGCATAGTGGGTAAAGCAGCCACCTGCAGTGCCAGCATCCCATATGGGTGCCAATTCAAGTCTCTGCTGCTCCACTTCCGATCCAGCTATCTGCTATGGACTGGGAAAGCAATAGACATGGGAAACCCTGAAGAAGCTCCTGGCTCATGGCTTCAGTTTGGTGCAGCTCTGGCAGTTGCAGCCATCTAGGGAGTGAACAGCGGATGGAAGACCTCTCTCTCCCTCTTTCTGCCTCTGCCTTTCTGTCTCTGCCTTTCAAATAAATAATCTTTAAAAAACAACAACAACAACAACAAAAAATCAAAGTGGTACCCTTAAAGAACTAATGATAGGTACTTGTTTGTGCTCTCCCCAACAATGAACCTCCTCCAGTATCCACTTAGCTCTCATAAAATTCTTCAAGGTGAATCCTCTTTAAATATACTTATTTATTTGAAAGGCAGAGACAGAGAGATGAGAGAGATTTTCCACCCACTAGGTCACTACTGAAGTGACTTTTGCTAATCCTCAGCTATGGACAATGCCATTTTACCCTCATCCCTTAGAGTAGTACCAGTGACTTTTCTGGCTCTCCACAGAACGGAGTTGATTTTTGCCCTGTCAGAACACAGGATCCAACTGCTACTCTAACCACTATGCCTGCACTAATAATCAAGGTTGCTGTAGTTTCTTTTTTTCCCTATAACTTTTCTTCTTTCTCAGGTCTTCTCCCTCATTTTTCAGCTTTCACATAGCAAGAAAGACTGAGAAAACAAACTGGCAACCAACCTAAGTACTGTTTTCCTTCAGTGTGGCAAGCCAGTGAAGTGTAGCATATCAGGATTAAATCTTCAGTGTTTTGTCTCTTTTAGCCATATCTTTTTTATTGAATGCTTAGGAACTATTTTTTCCACTGCCAGAAAAGCTTACATATCTTTTTCTAGTTCCTTCTCTAATGCAATTATTAAAGAAACCAAAGTATATCAGAATACTAACTACTTAAAAGCTCAAATTTCACCATAATACCTTTCAGTTATAGCAATGTTGCACACACACACACACACACCCTACATATATTTGAAATAAGCTGCAGATGCCAAAAGAATAGAAGACAACAAAAAGTTCAATAACAGAAAAAAATGTCAGAAAGTAGACAAGAGTTTTAGCAGGCTTAAGGAAGAATAAGTAGAATTCTAATCACACAAAAAGTGATCTAATCACAAAAAAAGAACAGGGTTAAATGACAAGTATATATTGGATTAAATCCTGCTTAACATAGTTACTAAGAAAACAGCTCCTAAGCTTTGTATTTAGCTTTACTCACTAAAGTTATTGCAAAAAACGTAACATGAGTGATCAATCTTCCAAAAAACATTAGTATTCATCTATCCTTTTACTACTAAGGAGACAAAAATAAATTATCAATTCTAAAGATACTGTAGCCTGGAATACACTATGTAAAAGAATCAATAAAAATAGATGCCATATATTCATTTTCCTGATACTATGTTTTCTTGGAAATCAAGTCACCAGCACCTTAATAAACACCTTTTGTTAAAAACAAATTTATTAAATTTGTTTTAACCCCATACTGGAATGCCTTTGTTTGAATTCTGGCTATGATTCCAGCTTCTTCCTATTGTGTACCTGGAAGGCAACAGATATTACTTGAGTCCCCATTACCCACATGGAAGACCCAGACTGACTTCTGTGCTACTAGCCTCAGGTTGGCCCAGCACATCCCGGGTTGTTGCGGGCATTTACAGAGTGACCCTACAGAAAGAAGCTCATTCATACTCTATTCTACTTTTCAAATAAAACAAGAATATATAAAAACTGTAAAAACAAATTTAGTTTTCAAATTGACATTGCTAGGTAAGAGAACTAAGAAAAAATACACACACACGGGCTGGCACTGTGGCATAGCAGGTAAAGCCGCTGCATGAAGTACCAGCAGTACCAGTTCACATACTGTATGCTCCACTTCCGATTCACATCTCTGCTATGGCCTGGGAATGTAGTGGAAGATGGCCCAAGTCCTTGGGCCCCTGCACCTGTGTGGGAGACCTGGCAGAACCTCCCGGCTCCTGGCTTCACATCAGCTCAGCTCCAGCAGTTGCGGCCATCTGGGGAGTGAACCAGCGGATGGAAGACCTCTCTCTTTCTCTCTCTTCCTCTGCCTCTCTGTAACTCTTTCAAATAAATAAATAAATTTAAATATATATATATGTATATATACTCAGTATAGTACATGCTTTTTTGTCTTTTTTTTTTAGATACAGTCTTTTTTCTCAGATTGAATTTCCTATTTTAATAATTAATTTTTATCACTGGAACAGAATCTGTGTGCAACTCTTTGCTACCTGAAGAAATCCCGAAACTCCATGCTGACTGCAAAAGAGATCCACTACTGACTACCCACCCACCCATAAATTTCATCAACGGGGTGAAACCAGTTCTTTCTGACCCATGTATAGTCAAAAGTAAGCCTCTGTCAGCTCCTCATCTGGTGAAGACTAATAGGAGGCATAAAATCCTTAGCTAGGTTACCAAGGACTGTGTTTATAATGGAACACAGCAGCATTTTTTAATATCTTATTTCTTCCATTAAACTTTAAAAAATTTTTAATAACAATTATACAAATTAATGGACTACAATGCAACACTTTAATACATTACAGACACTATGTACTGATCAAATCAGGATATCAACCTACTGATGTTACTTTCCTCTTTTTTCTCATATAATATGTAAGAGGTTATTGTGAACTAAACTCAGTCACCAGGCTATGTAACACTGAGCACTTATTCCTTCAGTCTAACTCTGATTTAAATACCATTATCCAAACTTCCATTGTTAACCCCACCTACCATCCCAGCCTCTAGTAATCACTATTTTGCATTCAGATTGAGTTTTGTTATCTTCTACATATGAGGGACAACACGTGACATTCGGCCTTCTGTGTCTGGCTTATTTCACTTAACATGATGTTCTTCAGTTCCAACTACTTCAGATTGCTACAGATGACAGGAATTCATTCTTTTCAAAGGCTGAATACTCATGAATTTAAGACAATTAAATTTTGTTATAAATTTCTTATCATCTGCAAAGTTAAGTGTAATTAACTCAATATATAACAGGATAGGGAACCATCTATTTGCTGCCTACAAAAAACACACCTCACCAACAAAGATACAAATTGAAAGTGAAAGGATGGAAAAAGATAGTTCATGCTAATAGAAAGCAAAAATGAGCAGGAGTAGCCATCCCAAAATCAGACAAGATAGACTTTAAGACAAAAACTGTTAAACAAACAAGGACATTTTGTAATGATTAGGGGATCAATTCAACAGAAAGATGTGACTAAAATAAATGTACATACACCCGATGTCATGGCACAAGACTATTGATAACAAATGTTAACCAATCTGGCCAGCACCACAGCTCAATACGCTAATCCTCCGCCTGCGGCGCCAGCACACTGGGTTCTAGTCCCGGTCGGGGTGCTGGATTCTGTCCCAGTTGCCCCTCTTCCAGGCCAGCTCTCTGCTATGGCCCGGGAGTGCAGTGGAGGATGGCCCAAGTGCTTGGGCCCTGCACCCCATGGGAGACCAGGAGAAGCACCTGGCTCCTGGCTTCAGATCAGCGTGATGTGTCAGCCGCAGCACGCCAGCCACAGCAGCCATTGGAGGGTGAACCAACGGCAAAAGGAAGACCTTTCTCTCTCTCTCTCTCACTGCCCACTCTGCCTGTAAAAAAAAAAAAAAAGAGAGAGAGAGAGAGAGAGACAAATGTTAACCAATCTAAAGGGAAACACAGGCTCTAATACAATAGAATGGGAGACTTCAGCACCCCACTTTAGCAATGGACACCTGAACTCTGCAAAAAATCAACAAAGAAACAACAGAGTTAATCTGCTTTGTGGAGCAAATGGACCTAACGTATATCTACAGAACATTTCGTCCCACAGTTGCAGAATACACATTTTTTTTCATCAGTGTATAGAACATTCCCTAGGATAGATCATATATTGGGCCATAAAGCAAGTCTCAATAAATTCAAAAACATTTAAATAGTAACATGTATCTTTTCTGACCATTATGGAATAAAGCTAGCAATTAACAACTTAAGAAACTCTAGGGGCTGGGCTGTGGGGTAGTGGGTAAAGCTACTGCCTGCAGTGCCAGCATCCCATACGGGTGCCAGTTCGAGTCCCCACTGCTCCACTTCTGATCCAGCTCTCTCTACGGCCTGGGAAATTAGAAGATGGCTCCTTGGACGCCTGCACCCGAATGGGAGACCTGGGACCTAGAAGAAGCTCCTGGCTCCTGGCTTCAGATTGGTGCAGCTCCGGCTGTTGTGGCCAACTGTAGAGTGAATCAGCAGAGCAGATAAAAGATCTCTCTCTCTCTCTCTCTCTCTCTGCCTCTCCTTCTCTGTGTAACTCGGACTTTCAAATAAATAAATCTTAAAAAAAAAAAACTCCAGAAAATAAGCAAACACATGGAGACTGAACAACACACTCCTGAATGAAGAGTGGGTCATAGAATAAATCAAAAGGGAAATAAAAAAATTCCTAGAAATACAGATGAAGATGACAACACAATATATCAAAACTTAGGGGATACAGCAAAAGCAGTATTAAGAGGAAAGTTTAAAGCAATTACTGTCTACATCAAGAAATTGGAGAAGCATCAAATAAATGATCTAACAATGCAGCTCAAGGATCTAGAAAAACAAGAACAAACAAACCCGAAATTAGTAGGAGGAAAGAATTAAAATTAGAGAAAAAATAAACAGAACTGAATAAAAAATATACAAAAGATCAATGAAATGATCTTTTTGGCCCAATTAACAAAAGCAACAGGGGGAAGCAGACACAATTAATTAAATCAGAGATGAAACAGGAGATGTTACAACAGGTACCACAGAAATAAGAATCATCATCAAAAATTACTACAAACAGCTATATGCCCCAAACTGGAAAAATCTAGAAGAAATGAACAGACTTCTAGACATAATCTACCAAAATTGTGTCATGAAGACAAAGAAAACCTAAAGAGCTCAAGAAACTCAACAAAACAAACAATACAGTTAAGAAATGATCAAAGGACTTGAACGTGCCCTTTTCAAAGGATGAAATACAAATAGCCAACAGATACATAAAAAACGCTCAGAATCACTAGCCCACATCGAAAATACAAATAAAAACTACAAGGAGATTTCACCTCACCACAGTTAAAATGGCTATCACTCAAAAATGTAAAAATAATGCTGGTGAGGATGTGAATAAAAAGTACCCTAATACACTGTCAGTGAGAATATAAACCAGAAAAATCATTATGGAGATTCCTCAGAAATCTGAAAATATATCTAACATATGACCCGGCCATCCCACTCCTGGGAGTTTACTCAAATGAAACAAAATCAGCATATGAAAGAGCTATTTGTACTCCCATGTTTATTGCAGCTCAGTTCACAAATGCTAACACATGGAATCAACCCCAATGTCCATAAAGAAATGGTGATATATACACACTATGGATAAAGAAATGGTGATATATATATACACACTATGGGATACTACTCAGCCATAATAAAAAATGAAATCCTGGGAGCTGATGCTGTGATGCAGTGTGTTAAGCCACCACCTGCAGTGCCACTATCCTATAGGTTCAAGTCCTAGCTGCTCAACTTCCAATCCAGTTCTCTGCTGATGTGCCTGGGAAAGCATCAGGATGACCCAAGTGCTTGGACCCCTGTACCCAAGAGGGAGACCCAGATGGAGCTCCTGGCTCCTGACTTTGGCCTAGCCCAGCCCTGGCCGTTGCAGCCATTTGGGCAATGGACCAGCAGAGGGGGGAGCCATCTCTCTCCATTTCTCTCTCTCTTCTTCTCCCTGTAACTCTCTTATACAGGATAAGAAAAAAAAAAATCCTGACTTTTGCCACAAAATAGCTGCAACTGGAAACCATTATGGTGAAATAAGTCGGTTCCAAAACGACAAATCTTTTAAGTTTTCTCTGATATGTAATAGTAATTTGTAATATGTAATACAGAATAAAAAAAAAGAAAATGTAAAGGAATAAACATCTTGTGATTTGAGTGTTGTTTTTAGCCCTTGTTTATACTCCTATGAACTGTAGTCTTTCTACTTTTTACTTGTTGAATGTTACAGTTAGTGGTGCATTAAGCCTGTGATTATAAAGTGAACTGAAGTCATATTTTTGCAAAAATTAAAGAAAGGAAGGAAGGAGGGTGATTTAGGGAGGAAGAAATGGACAGAGGAAGTAAGGTTATCTTCTTAAAATTATACTTATGAGGCCGGCGCTGCAGCTCACTGACTAATCTCGCTGTGGCACGGCACCCAGGTCTAGTCCAGTGCTCTCTTCAGTCCAAGCTTCTCTGCTGTGGCCCAGGAAGGCAGTGGAGGATGGCCCAAGTGCTTGGGCCCTGCACCCACATGGGAGACCAGGAGGAAGCACCTGGCTCCTGGCTTCAGATCGGCGCAGCATGCCGGCCAGCAGCGGCCATTTGGGGGGGTGAACCAATGGAAAGAAAAGGAAGACCTTTGTCTCTCTCTCTCTCTCACTGTCTAACTCTGCCAGTCAAAAAAAAATTATACTTATGAAATATATGAAATCTTCTCTTTATATTATTAATAAATAAAAAAAAAAGGCAGGGGAAGCAGAAGATGGCCCAAGTACCTACTACCTATGTAGGATACCAAGATGGAGTTCCTGGTTCCTGGCTTCAGCCTGGCAAAGCCCTGGATGATGGGCCATTTAGGGAGTAACACCAGATGTAAGGGGTGTGTGTGTATCTCCCTCATTCTCATTGCTCTTTCAAATAAATAACTCTGTTTAAAAAACTGAAGTCAGGGGCCAGCGCTGTGGCGTAGTGGGTAAAGCCACCGCCTGCAGAGCCAGCATCCCATATGGGTGCCGGTTTGAGTCTCGGCTGCTCCACTTCCAATCCAGCTCTGCTATGGCCTATGAAAGCAGTGGAAGATGGCCCAAGTCCCTGGGCCCCTGCACCCAGATGGGAGATCTGGAGGAAGCTCCTGGCTTCGGATAGGCGCAGCTCCAGCTGTTGTGGCCAACTGGGGAGTGAACCAGCGGATGGAAGACTTCTCTCTCTCTCTGCCTCTCCTTCTCTCTCTGTATAACTCTTGGACTTTCAAATAAATAAATAAATCTTTTTTTTTTTAAAAAAGTGGTCAATCTGGAATAAAAATACCCATCATATGAAGTTCCTGATTATTTCCTCCCCAAGACACTGAACCACTATAGCATGGGTACAAAGAGGTAGCAAAAATATAAACCCAGCAGCAGAAATATCACTGGATAATCTACAGCACAATATTTTACATCTGCATTAATTATTCTAGATAATACATGAAATCATCTTCTCTGGTATAACTGTAAATAAGTAGTTCAAAGAGTTAAGATACATTTGATTTATTATGAATACACACCCAAGGATATATACTAACATTTATACATCCTGCTTAGGTTAGTCATTATAGACTGTAATGAATAGCAAACAATGAAAAGTTGACTTTGTTCAGCAGTGTGAAAGGGTTTTGACTTCCTTTTTTTTAAGACCACCAATAACAAACTAAAACGACATTTAGTGTAACAGAACAGACTAAAACTACATTTAGTGTAACAGAACAGTCGTTCCAAGGCTTATAAAATATAGATAGCAAGTAATTTTCCTGTGAATTGTAGTAGTAATTAGTTTTATAAACAAAGTATTTTTAAATGTTATATATTTCTAAGTTTAGCTGAGAACCTGGCAGTTAAAATTCACATATTAAAAAAACATCTTACTCAGATACAGAGTTTTTGCAAAATCACTGCTAATCTGCACTCACCCCTCCCAAAGAAAACCCAGATTTACTAATTTCCTTTTCAATTTAAAAATCTTATATAATCATACAGGTGCACAACAGTTGTATATACAATAATTATTACATTATTCTTTCATGGTAGAAGACAAAAAACAACCCAAATGTCCAGCAAATGTCCAGGGGTCCTCAAAATGCTCATGGAAAATGTATATTATAATAAAAAGTTTGCACCAAAATAAACATCTTTTAATTCCATTTTCCCAAAGTTTTTGAAGTCTGCATGTATGTTATGAGCATATAAAAGAATACCATGGAGCTTTTTTTTTTTTTTTTTTTTAGTTTTTTGACAGGTAGAGTGGACAGTGAGAGAGACAGACAGAGAGAAAGGTCTTCCTTTGCCATTGGTTCACCCTCCAATGGCCGCCGTGGCCGGTGCTGCGGCCGGCGCACTGCGCTGATCCAATGGCAGGAGCCAGGTACTTATCCTGGTCTCCCATGGGGTGCAGGGCCCAAGCACTTGGGCCATCCTCCACTGCACTCCCTGGCCACAGCAGAGAGCTGGCCTGGAAGAGGGGCAACTGGGACAGAATCCGGCGCCCCAACTGGGACTAGAACCCGGTGTGCCAGCGCCGCAAGGCGGAGGATTAGCCTAGTGAGCCGCGGCACTGGCCACCATGGAGCTTTTCAAAAGAATGTAGTGGCTTTCCAATAACACTGCTTTAAGTCTGTTGTCTAACAGCATGTCAATCCTCTCCTGGATGGTGTTTTTCTAGGAAAGTTTGTATGCATATCATCAAGTCTCTTTGAAAAATTAAGAAATTTAAATGTATGCTGGAGGTTATGACAATATATGTGGCATTTTATTTTAAAAATTGGGGAAAGTTGAATATTTTTTAAAAGTAGGTGCTTGAGTAAAAAAATTGAAGGTTTTTTCTTT